ATATAATGTTAATATCAAAGGCACTGAGAATTACAACAATAAAGAAATCTGCTTAACATTCATTTTACTCACTTTTTTTTCCTTCCACAAAACCCTATTAATCTCCCCTGTTAAGAAAAAATTCAAAAACATGCTTTGAGGGCCGGCCCATGGCTCACTTGGGAGAGTGCGGTGCTGATAACACCAAGGCCTCTGGTTTGGATCCTATATAGGGATGGCCGGTTAGCTCACTGGCTGAGCGTGGTGCTGAAAACACCAAGCCAAGGGCTGAGATCCCCTTACTGGTCATCTTTAAAAAAAAAAACAAAAACATGCTTTGGAGAATGTGGCCTTCAACTGAAGTTCCCCTAACAACAGTATAACTCATTACAAAGATTTTTATTGTCAAATTGTTTTGAAATTTTTAAGCCATCCCAGGAGGAGTCTGAGTTCAAGAAAAGTCCTATGGGGACTGAGTCTAATCTTCAAGCTGGATGACCTGCCCAGACGTCACATGACTAGTGCCAGAAGAATGACACCTTTGCTTCCTTCTGAGTCTTTGAATCATTTCACTTGTCCTGTTCACACTCCAAGTTCCTGAGAAGTTCCTGACCTCCTCTGCCTGAACTTTCCCCTTATCTCTATTTGTGGCTTCACAAAAATCCCTCAAGGGAAACTTCCTCTGCCTGAACTTTCCCCTTATCTCTATTTGTGGCTTCACAAAAATCCCTCAAGGGAAAAAACAAAACATATCACATTTGATAATCCTCTGGTGTTGGCTCTCTTCCTCTGCTTTGACTCAACATTTACCCCCCTTAAATTCTATCTCTGTCCAGTCACTCCAGAAATAATCTGACCAGATTTAGTTTATCCTAAAGCCCTCATGCTGGATTGTGTCCACTGGTCCCCTAAGATAAGGCAGGCAGTATGCCAGGCACTGGGGCTGCAGCAGTGACCCAGACGGAAGTGGACCTGACCTCACAGAGCCTTGGATCTAATGCCAATGCCAATGGTGTGCTCTCGTGCCCAGGGCAGGACTCAGGCAGGTCCTGGGTGAGAAAACCAGGGATTATTAATTATTAACGATCAGTGCAAATGGAACTTAATTGTACTTATGCAATTATGTTTTATTTAAAAATTTAAACGGCATATCCTTTTTATTAGAGTGGTTATTATTTCTTTGGCTGTTTTAATAAACAATTCTAATCTTACATGAAAAGCAAAGTTAACTTTGAAAGCATAATGATTTCCCTCTAGAGTAACAGATCTTATTGATATAATCATAACCAAGTTTACCTGGTGGCTGCATAATCCAATTTCAGTAAAATAATTGGAGACCAATAAAAAGCTTCTTAAGGGCTAGTGGTGTAACTCAAAATCTTTTAAATGCCAGGTGAATGGTAGGTATTTATATAGAGAGAGGAAAGAATTTACTATGAAGAACTTTTGGGGGGTACAAATTCTTTTGAACAAAGAATTTTTTTTCAAGGTGCTCTTCTGTATGGGTTTGGGATAAACTACTGGGCTCGGATAACTCTGGAGAAGAGCAAGGTATCTGAGAATCAGAGCTAATAAAACCTGGCTTCAGACAGACAGCGGCATCTTGCTCTCTCTCTGTGAATATGCAATTCTACCAATTCCAGCTTCTCCCCTTCCTCTCTCTGATTTTAAGGTGACATAAGCTCCTTTCCCCAGGACAAAAACTGGCAGTTTTTGGAAACTTCAGCTATTACCTCTCCCAAGGATGGTGGGCTTGGGGGCTAGCTAGGACTGAGGTGGTTCTTTGGGAGGAGCTGCAGGGTGAGGCAGTCTTTACCCAGCCTTTTGGGTCAAGGAAACTTCAGCTATTACCTCTCCCAAGGATGGTGGGCTTGGGGGCTAGCTAGGATTGAGGTGGTTCTTTGGGAGGAGCTGCAGGGTGAGGCAGTCTTTACCCAGCCTTTTGGGTCAAGGTGTAGACAGGAGAAACTGAGGGGACATTCTTCACCAAACCTCAGGTTCAAAGCACCAGAACAACAGAAAAGATGGGAGGGACCTAGACTAGAGGAGGTAGAGGAGGAAGTGGAACAGGTTTTCTTCCAGAGTGTGTACCCATCTCCTTAAAAATATGGTCATTATGTTCCAGCTAGCCTTCTCCATGGGCAGTGGAGGATCCTTGATTCACAAATGACGACCCAACTGGCTGCTAGTTCACTACTCTGGTTTTAGCCTTTTTTGATTCTTGAAATGCACATATTCCCCAGGGGGGAGTATGTGTACTTATCAGGTAACTGAATTCCAAAACCGAATTCCTGATTTTCTATCTCGTTAAACAGGTACCAATGCCCACCAACTTGTTCCAACTAGAAACATATCCTTTCCCCTACTTGCCTTATGCAGTCCCTCACTCTTTCTTGTCAGTTTTTCCTCCAGCATATACCTGGAGTCTATCTACTTCTCTCCCTTTCCACTGCCACCATCTGGTCCAAGCCACCCTTGTGGCTCATTTGCAGTGTCCTCCTATGAACCCCCTCAGCACCCCTGCCACCCCCTATTGCCATGTGCTGTAACTGCTGTTTACTCACCTTCCTCCTCCAATCCTAGCTCGGGACCTGGTTTGTCGAATAGATGAAGAAATCTGAGTAAGACTCTTTTCTAAGCCTCTGGTGGAGACTGGAGGTTGTGAATTCTATTTAAATGTGCTCAACAAGAATATTCTTTCCCTAGGCCTGGCCTCTGGGTACTAAAAGAAAACCATAGATACATGTCTAAAGATAAGTTGGCCTGAAATGAATCCAAATCAGTGTAGACAGTAAAAGATAAGACTTGCTTTAGAACCAAGAAACTTTTCTAAGCCTCACCTATAAAGTATCTTCAGGGCAATCGTCTGTTGAAATCCGTAATCATGCACACTGCAAAAGGTTTAAGAGAAGATTCTGGATAAATTAAACAACTGAGATGCTTTTGAACTAAGATTATTGGGAGTAGCCAATGTAGAGAAAAGATCCTTTTTAGCCTTTTTGGACTTCAGGGCCAAATTGTCAGGTGAGGAGGGAAAGCTACCTTCACATCTAGATGACTTGAGGGCTGACTACGCAGTGTCTGAATGATTCATTCTTTGACTTCTGGTCCTTATTCCTCCAGTTCCCTTTCTCCAATTTAGCTCTCATTCCACTTCCACTGAGGTGCACAGAAGAAAAGAAAAAGCTCAGGAAAATTCCTTTAGAATTTCTGAAGGAGTTTAACTGGGAGCAGGTTGACTTTACAGTACAATGTTGAGGACTCTCATTCTTTGAAACTTTGTTTTCCTTAGATTCTGTCTCTTCTTGCCTCCTTCATCTTTCATTACATTTCCTTTATCCTTCCTCAGAAACATCTCCTTGTTTTCTAGAATCACATACTCTTAGAACTAGAAGGGAGGGACCCATATCTCTAGTATCTGGTGATTGGGGAAAGGCAGAGAGCTGGAGGAATAATATCTAATGAGGGGGAGACTGATACTCAGAAAGATAAAATGATCTATCCATGACAGTTGAAACCAAGTCTTTTGACTCATGGTCCCAAACTCTTTCCACTATGTAACACTGCCTGGCTTCTCTAAGAAAGAAAGAAAACTCCAGTTATTGCAGAAAAAACTTTCTTTTCCTTTCATTGGAAAAAATAATAGTAATATCACACAAGCATTTGTGCTTTCAGAATATCTTTCCTGAGTTAAAGAGCTAAACCCATGTAATAGAATAAACAAACAAAACCTCAATTAAATTAAGAAATAAAAATGCTTTCAATATAAGTTTAATCATTAGATTTCTGGTTTGTTTCTCCAGTTAACTAGTCGATTGCCCAGTATTTCTTAAGTACAAATCTCTGATAATGTCCTAATCACACTACACTGAGCAATGGAGATCCTCATTTCTGAATGAATTCAAGAGGCTTAGAACTCCGTTGTGGGTCTTACTTGTTTCTTTTCTTTTCATAAATTCACTTTGACTATTTTCCTTCTGCTACATTCTCAGATGTTGGAAAGGTATCCATCCAAGTGTCTCCTTATTCAAATGCACCATAAAAATTAGAATTGAGGGGCTGGCTGGTTAACTCAGTTGGTTAGAGCACAGCCATGTAACACCAAAGTCAAGGGTTCAGATCCCCCTATCAGCCAGACACCAAAATAAATAAATTAATT